TCCTGCTGCTTTGTGTTGACTGCTTTGACAGGTGCGTGGACGGCTATTATGGAAACCCTCTGACTGGAGAACCCTGCCGCCCATGCATGTGCCCAGGGGCACCTACAAGCAATAGGTATTTTGCACGTTCCTGCTACCAGGACTCCCAGTCTGCACAAGTAGTCTGCAATTGTCTTGAGGGATATTCAGGTACGAAGCAAAATAAGGACTTGTTTTGATTCTATTAAAATTAATGTAAGAGAGAAAAATGACCATCCTCCGCCTATCCTCTGTTCAGAAATTACAAGTGAGGTAATGGTAATAAAATAGATAAGAAAAGTTAACACTCAAATTTACTGAAATTAGGTGGGGAAGTCCTGACTCAGAAGAGTGGGAACTGTGCAATTAGTGTTTGAAAAAAGGATTCACCTATGTGGATACAGTGAAGCCATTAATTAATCTAATGTCACTCTCTGGAAATTACCTCTGAAAAACAAGTGTTGGAAGCCCAAATCAGAAAGAACAGGGCATCAAAAAGAGCTGATAAGATTTCCTAATCAGATAAAATCTTTCTTCATATAGAGGAGTCTTGCTTTGACATTATGCCCATTAGTGACTGTTTCACCATTCAAATGGTCACTTCAGAAATGAGGTTTCTGTTCTCAGCTGTCTCAAGTGCAGATATCCTTGTTGGTACTCAGCCAGGGGACTTCTGTCCTCACAAACCACCACAATCCACAGTTCTGGATTTTCTTCCTCCTGCTTCTTCCTGGCAAGGCTCTTGATCACCTCTGTGGCACTGGGCTCACTTCCTCAGAGACTGTGAAAGGCTCTGGTCCTGAGGACCACGATGAAGGAGCAGAGTCCTTGGCTGAGGATGAGCCAGTGGATGAGGTCCCAGCAACTCCAGCCTGTCCAGAAAGGTTTCCGAGATGCAGAGAGGTAGCACCCCAATCAGGGCGGACATTGGGATGGTGTGCGGAAGTAATTGCAGTGCCAGCAAGCAAGGACAGAGTGTCCCAGAGCTCGGCTGACCTCCTGGGGATCCTCCACGGGGTTACGGAAAGGTGAGCAGGTCTGCCGGGCTCTGGGTTGCTCTGGGAAAGGGCATCCCTCACCTTCCCAGGCTGTTGTCAGGGTGAAGGCCCCAGGGAAAATCCTACAATATGGCCAATCCTTTACTGGAAAAAAGATGTTTGGAGGTGTTGTATGAGGGGGTACCTATTTACTCCTACTGCAAGGACTTCCTTGGTAAAAACAACTTGGGATGAGGAGAGTGTGTTTCCATCAGATTTCAGGGTGGGAATGTAATTTAAACTGATCATAGGATTAAAGGGCAACAGTCTCAAACAGGTGGATATTTTCCATTGGAAATGTGCGTTTGAACAGACAGTCTGAATCTTTTAACAATGTTACTGGAATTTACGTGTTTCGCTTGAATTCCCATCAGCCAGCAAATATTTTTACCTTCCTCTCCAACAGGCAATCGGTGTGACGAGTGTCCTAGTGGGTTCTACAAAAACCCAGGCAGCCCTGGGCTTGACTGTGCGCCATGTCCCTGCAATAACAACATCGATGTGACAGACCCAGAGTCCTGTAACAGGGTCACCGGGGAATGCACCAAGTGTTTACACAACACCCATGGAGCAAACTGCCAGTTCTGCAAACCAGGGTATTTTGGCTCAGCCCTTGATCAAAACTGTCGAAGTAAGTAAGCAACAGCACTGCAACTGAGTATTGCTATCAAGAAATGTTTTAAAGAAATTGGACTATAGGGAGAGGTTAGCCCTTGGAAGGACAGTATAACTAAAGCAGATCAATGGAGCAAAAAATGAGAATACCAAACATATTTCTATCCAGTGATACAAATAACTGTTAATATGGCATCTATTAAACTCTTTGTCATCCAAGTCTGACTAAATCTCATACTGAATACCACTCCTAGGAAATACTCATTTGTGAAATGAAATCAGTACTCTCTGTTAGAAAAATAAATATGCATTCAGCCTACTCAGGAAGGAATCAAAAGTAAATGAATCAAAGATAATTGTTTATCCGTGTTGCTGGCTGATGCCAACTAAGCAATGCTCAGTTAACCAGATGATCCCTTGCTGAGCTCCCTGCCTTACCAGTTGTTTTCATTAAGTGGCTAGAATGAGACTGTTCAGGCAATTTAATAGACTCCGTGAGGATGCTGTCAATAACTCAGCACTTTTAACAGAAAGGCAGGAGTGTAAGAAAAAACAAGGCATAAGTTTCTTCCCAATGTTTCTCAAATGCTATTTTCACAAATGTGCCTGATTGAGGGTCTAATTTCTACGGGCCAGAAAATTACAGGTATTTTCAAGAAACTCTTTGGAGTCTCTAAAATACAGTTCAAGCCCATTCCTTGTTCATTCTTGGAAGATGTCTGTTAGAAATGGTTAAGCAAGAACTTTTGGCTCCTCACAAGGAAGGCTTCTTATCTTACTTGGCTTACTGGGGTTTCCCACGCTGGATAGTGCCTACTGTAAATCAGCTTCTCCTTACCCAGCATATTTAACATTTCATTCTAATACGATTTAAAATTCACTACGCCTTCATATTTTCTGCCTGTGTTGAAAGTACTGAACGTTCCCAGTAAGTTTGCTCAAAGTGATATATAAGCTATTCTAGAAAGATAGGTAAACTGTATGAGATTAAAAATGCGTTCAGGATTACTGGGAGTAAACTTACAGCATAGGCTTTATATACAGCTCTGATTGTCCATCAGCTGTCTATATTATCTTCTGCTCTAGTAATTGTCCTTCTTTTTCCAGGGTGCACGTGCAATCCGGTGGGTGTTCACCCTGCCGTGTGCCCAGGGGGGGATGCAGCCTGTCTGTGTGACCCAGCCACGGGAGCTTGCCCTTGCCTGCCCAACGTGGTGGGCGCGACATGCGACCAGTGTGCCTCTGGCTACTGGGACCTGGCTAGTGGAAAAGGATGTCAGATCTGTGACTGTGATCCAAAAAACTCCCAAAGCGACCAGTGCAACCAGGCAAGAAAATTACTCTGCTTTCCAGGAACTGGGGTGGGGGCGGTTTGGCATGGCACGGTGGGGACACTCTTATAAACGAAGAGTTTTCTGTTGTGCTCCCGGAAAACAAGCAGTCTTTGGAAGTTTGCAGCTGGTGCGATCACACTTTGAGTCATTATATCAAATGTGCTGTTCTGCTAGTGTGGGTCTGCTTGCAAGCAATTTCTCTTTGCCTGTGTGTTTCTTTGTCAAGTGGATCTTAGAAATACTTTGTAAGAAAATGTCACATAGGAAAAAACGGCCTCGTAAGTATACAGATAGGGAAGAAGAAAGTCCAGGCTTGGACCCGAGAGTCTTATGAGTATTTTTTAAAGTGTTAATTTTCATGAAGTACCAGCTGTGGCTATTACAGTAATCATGCCTCATCTGTCAGACTGCTAGAGTACCTTTTCTCATCTTTAATTTCGGTGCACTTTTTAGGGCTAGAATGTAGAAAAAAATAAAACAGCGTTTCAAAATAGAGAGGTGAAATTGTGGTCCCATGGAATCAACAGCAATTTTGCTACTGACTTCAGAGCACAAGGAGCTTATCCCAAGCTCTTACTGATGTGCTTTCACATTTTCCTTTCAATATGCCTTCTGTTTGTTCCAGCTTATTTAGTGGATTTCTTATTTTTCCTAGCAAATGTAGGTCTTAACCTCAAAGAACTACTACTGCTTTTCTGAGCTGTACCAGTTATCAGAGCTGTAATTCCCTGCAGTTTAATTTAATAGCTGAATTCCAAAATAAATTTTCTAGGGCAATGTGTATAATGTACCCTCGAGGTTTTCAGTTACAGTTACTATATCATGTAGTTAAAAGTTGAAATGTTAAGACAAGTAGTTTGCTCCAGCAAAAATAAGAAATTAATCTATTTTGTGAAGGAAAAGAGTCCTTCTGTAGACTGGAACATACAAAATCCTTCATATTAGTAAAGTAAAGCCACCTCTCAAAGTCCATTTTGTTTGCACAGCCTTCAGGAGGAAGATGGGAAAGGTGGGCCAATACTGTATAAACCACGGTGTTCAAAGACCATGTGTAAGCAGTGTCACTGCAGTCCCCGTACAGCCATGTGACATAAGTCACAGGGAGAAAAGAAACCCAGTAAATAATCTATATGCAGCCATATGACTCTGCAGGAAGCTATTTAATCCTGTCTTTACAGCTTACAGGCCAGTGTCGATGTAAACTAGGTTACACCGGAAGATGTTGTGATAAATGTGAGGAAAATTACTTTGGCAATCCCCAGACGCATTGCATTTGTAAGTATTACGAAGTGGGGACAACTGGATTAGAAACTGCCTCAAAAGAAGTGTTTGCCTTTTATATTCATAGGGGAGATGGGACATACATCTAGAGAAGCAGGCTTCCATACGTTTGTGTGTATGAGGTGGATGAAAGTGTTTATATTATTTATCTATATTATTCCTTCTACGGTTATGATGGGACCATGGAAGTTAGAGATGAAGAAGAGCCATTGGCCAGGCAGTCCACTTTGCTCTAACTCAAACACCAGTTTGCTTTTATTGTCTTGAAATGCACGATTGTATCTTCTGCATGCGTTAATCCCACGGAGAAGGAACAGCTGGATGTAACTTGCTGTCCCTTTCTTGCAGCGTGCGAGTGTAACCCAGAGGGAACCAGCCAGCCCAAGTGTGACAAAGCCACCGGCATGTGTAACTGCCGTGCTGGCGTCACCGGCCGGTTCTGCGACCAGTGCGGCCGAGGCTTTGAGAAAGACTTTCCCTCTTGCCATCAGTGTCATCTTTGTTTTGATCAGTGGGACATGGAAATTACCGCCCTCGCTCAGACTGTTCAGGGGTTAATGAGGTTTGCTGCAAATCTTGAAGATAAAGGAGGGCGAATGCCCAGCTGTGACATGCGCTTCAAAGCCTTTGAAGATGCCATTTCTGAAATTGAAAGAATTTTGAGACATCCTGTTCTTTCACTGGAGGCCCTCTCAGGCATCAAGGATTTTCAGGGCTACGTTCGGTAAGGGCTTGGCTGCTCCTGAAAAAATCCCTTGACTGAGAAAGCAGTCTTCTCCCGGGCTCCACCAGCCATCCCTACACAACATGTCCCGCTTCTGATCAGCACACAGATGCTGGACTACTGAGTCACTGTTTTCAATAGATCTGTGAACAAAATAATCCTTATATGTATTACCTGTCCCCCACAGGCATATACTTAAATGCTGGAATTTTCCAGTTCATCCTAAGGGTTTTCTAAATAAGCCATTACAAGTAAATGCTTCTGCTCATTTAGAATTTTTTCTCTTGTCGTCTAAAATGTTTTGTATCTCAGTTCTAGTTTAAGAACAGTCCAGTCTGACATCTGCATAACTGCTATTTCCCTTTCAGACAGAAAGCTGCACAAATGGATCCCCTTCACAGTACGCTGTATGAGTTTCCTGACCTTAACAAGAACATGGAAGACATCGGGGAAGAAGCTGACCTAGTGTATGAACTTCTACAACAGAAAATACATCTGCATCAAAGTTTTCATTACTTGAACCTCAAAGGTAAGGCAACCAGCAATTAATTGAAATAGGTGAACATTTTCTGTGAAATTTCAGAATGTTTTTCTCACCATTGAACCATACAACATTTCAAAGATCCCTAGATTTTAGCTTCCAATGGTTAGCGCAAAAATGTAAATACTAACAACATTTTATACTGACTTTCCAAACTCCCTTTTATCTTAAAATGCCATGATTTCTAGCATCCTAAATTTCAGATGCATGTGCCAGGGGCACGTCAGTCAGAAGTCTCATAAATCCCAATGTTTACATCCAGATTTAAAAGCCACCCAGTTTCACAGGATAGACTCACAGATGATACAGTAGAACAGCAAAGGATTTTTTCCTCACTTCTGACTCCTCTTGCTCTTAGCAATACTTAAAGAATGTTGTACAGCAATTGTTTGTTTAATTAAAGCAGAGGGTCATAGTGCAACTTCTTAGTGCTCCCATGGGAAAATGCATGACTTTATGTGGCAAGGAACTAGCTCTCCATCATCAAAAAATGTGAAGTCAGAACTGAGTTCCGTGGCATTTTTGAAAGAATTACACCATCTGTGCTTGAGCTAAGTATAGTCTCCATCAGCTGCTAATAGCAGTAATGACAATGTCACAGACTGGCTTCTGGAGAAAGACGGGGACGTATCAGTCGGGTATCTTGAACAGATGCTAGATCATCCAGAGTGGCAGGAGATTGTCAGCAGTGTAGTCTCCAAAGAGAATGGCTGCCAAGATATGGACGCCCAGAAGATAAGGTGCGCACCACAGAAGACACAAGCTGCAGGCAGTGCACTCCCATTTACAGTTCCTCTGTGTTTCGTTCAGGTGAGAAAAAGATTGGCCTAGACAAGGTAAAAAAAAGGAAGGAAAAGTCAACAGAATACAAAGCCGAGGGAAAGAAAGAGGGGGAAAGAGGGATTAGTTAAGATTCAGGGCTCCCCTGCCCTGCTGTACTTGGCAGCACCCCCGGGGCCGGCTCTTCCGCTCAGGTCCCCGCGCGAGCAGTCAGCACGGCTCACCCAGGCTCCGCTTCCCAATTCAACTGAGTCTTGTGCAGGCTCTGAGAAAGGCAGGAAGGCAAAGAAACAATAAATCTCAGGGAGGTCAGTGGATGCACAGCTGAAGCATCCATGGTGCTGTCTGGTCACGTTCCAAACCCGCTTCGTCTTTTGGCCTCAGGAGGCAGATAAACAGCCCTATAAAAAGCACACGGGGGTGTGGGGAGGGGAAGACCTTGAATTTAAGCTGAATTTCTGGTCAGGGCCACAGATATTCATTGGTCTTGCTACCAAGCATCTAACAGCACAGAAATAGCATTTCCCTCAAGATAACCAGCTTCTCTGCTATCTGAGAGAAAGCCTGGCTCCCTCACCCCATCTTAATTTCAGGACCAGCAGCGCATCCTAGGCATGGTTCTGTCTGCTTTTTCCTCTCTCTTTTTTGCCAGCCCAAGCAAGTAGGGTAGAGCAGAACGTGGCCATGTACCCCATCTGGGGTACATTTGGCACTTGTGCTCTAGACACACGTGGGGAAGGGGCTCCTACCTACCTGTCTTTACAGAGGATCAAGTGAACAAGAATTAGGGACTCAGAGAGTTCCTCAGAGGCACACATTCAGCTGGCTGACCTGGAAATGTCAATATCTAATGATGAATTAAAATCACTGGAAAAAAACAAGACACAAGTGTCCTTAAAAGAATGTTTGCAGTTTATGAGATCTCATTAAATTACAGCTTTCCAGCCTTGGCCCCTGGCTTTGCAGCCACTGTGGTATGGTAATGCAGTGAGTACAGCTTCCTAGGCTGTAAATCAAGCCTGTGCTAAGATGCTCTGTTTAACATAAAGGAACTTGGAAGCTCTACAGCTCCATCACAAAACCCATTTAGGCCACTTAATGGAGAGCTGAACCACTGTAAAATATTCCTGCAATGGAATTGTTGCACAGAAAACAGTCTCTGGCTTAGATATGGAGTTACAGCAGCCTCTTGCCAGGTATTTTGTATTAGGAGCTAACTTTAAACTGTACATTGTTTCCAACAGTTACAAGATAAAATAAATAGCCCTGGTTCCACACAATAACTAAACATTGTTTAGCTTCAATCAAAGCAAGGCCAAGGGCTTTAGAGCCCAATTCAAAGCACGTGGGACTTGATGAGTGCCTTGTCATTGACTTCAACTAGTAACTGAGGTGGTTACCAGCACAAAGAGGGATGTTAATCAATGACCTCTAGTGCTTTTTCACTGCCGACACATCGGTTCAGGCTCATTGCACATACTTCTGCCTGGGGATATGGGGACATCCTTGGGTTCTCTGGAGATCTGGGAAGCCTCAACAGTGGCAGCTTTAAATTATGTGTTTTGAAAAAAGCCTGAGACCTTTCTTTAGGCTATTAATCTGCAAAAAATGTAATATTCTTCAACCCTTTTGAGACTGCTTAAGGGAAAGCTTACACTAAGCAAAAAAGAAAGACTCTTGCTGGAAAAAATATTTTTTGCCTGGCCTACAAACTTATCATGGAAATGCTTTTTTTTTTAATGCATCAACCCTGAAATTGGATTTTCCAGAGCCAAAGAAAACTCCTAAATTCCCATTTGTAATTTAAATTTTGGCCTCAGTTCAGCAGGTCATTTAACTTTTGGGTGCTATGCTGAACAGACAGGACAAATGCTTTCTTGACTCACAGTCAGAGAGCTGATAATTTCATTTCATAGGTTTTACAACTGGCAGAAACAGTTTTCCTGCCTAAACTTTAAAACAGCATAAATGACAGGATGTCCTGGTGCTTAGTTGCTGGCTGGGGCTAAACCATGACACAGGAGCTCTATCAAATCAACAATGGCAGCATTGCATGAGCTACTGATGAATGCAGATTAGTAGCAGTTTGTGTCATTAATGGGATCGCCTTCATACTTTTGTATCTTCCGTTGGCTTCTCATACACCTTGGATTCTGAAGAATGACATGGGATCCACTGTATTTGCATCTTTTTTAGCAGGTTTTATGAGTATCAATAACTATTCCTGTTTGGCAACTGGCTGAGTAAAGGATTAAAAAGCTTGACTGAGGAAATGACAGCTCCTGTCCCTCCCTGCTGTCCCAAATCAAACACCAGTGACAACAAACTGAATCACCTGTCACTCACCGTTTGTCCAGAATTCAAGTAAATACACAAATTAAATGCAACCAAAATACAGTTGGTACTAAACCCTATTTCTATTGCTACAGAGGCCATCAGCAACATTAGGAAACACTTTGAAGTATCATTGCTGGCAGAACAGAAAACCAGTGGGACAACCCCTACTGTAAGATACTCAGAGTACACCAGGAACCACGTGCTCGCTGTGTTGAGCCATCAGGTCTTCAAAGCAAGCAATGTGCTGGAACAGCTCAAGATGATCAAGAGCCCCAACATCCAAAACTTGAATGAAAAGGTAGGCGCTGTGAATTTTGGAGCTACACAAAAATTTTGGAACTGTGAATGGGAGCTACACAAAAATCCCTTTTTTGATGCTGTTAGTAGGTTTTATTTTAAAAGGGTGCTTACATGCATTTTTAAATCTGGAAAATGATGCTCCCCTGGCACAGACATGCAGTCACGTCAGAAACAGCCACACTTCTCAGCTGTGGTTACTACCACCCTTCTGGAAGCCATTGCTCCCAGGACAGACCCAGCACAAGGAACTGTTTAAGCACTCTCTAGTCTCAAGAGGACGTCAGCGTAAATTCAGAAAGATTAACCCCAACCTCCTCCATCAGTAACTTAAACTAAGCAGAGCAACTTTGCCCTGGAGTGGATGGGGAGTGCTCATGTATCCTTTGCATCACCCATGGGAGAGGAAGGGATTCCTCTCCTTCTGTGGGGCAGCAGTGAGTACCTGATAGCACCTGCAGCCAGCCCTGCTAGATCTGGAAGAGACCATCCATCTAGGCCTTTAGTCTCAACATCTGTGTCAAATTATATGGAGGGCTAGACATGGTACCGTGTTGTGTGAGAGGTGATCCGGATCCTTTAGAACAAGCTATTCACCCATGGGCTGCATATAGCCAGGGGACAGTTTCAGCCCTTTTGCCATAGACGAGTGAAGCAAGGGACTTAGTGCAACACACGGAGCCCAACAAATGGCTCCTACAAGGATGCTCAGAGCCATGGGCTGCCATTGCATCCTTCAAGTCAGGAGTGGGGGATCTGTAACTGGCAGCAACACCCATCTTTGGAGAGACCAGACTACCATCTCTTTGGGAAGATCCCATCCTATGTTCAATGTTCGCATGATGTCAAACACCTTCCCCACCCCTAGGAGTGTATCTCAGGCCCCCAGAGGAGTCCTGACATAAGCATCTTCCTTATTGCAGATCTGTGGTGTGCCAGGAGACCAGCCCTGTGTCACAGCAGCCTGCGGGGGAGCTTTGTGCCGGGACAGTTGTGGGCTCAGGCAGTGCGGTGGTCCAAACTGCAGCGGAGCTCTTCCTCTCTCCACTGATGCCTTCAGGAAAGCTGAGGAGACTGCTGTGTTGCTAAATAACTTGACTATTCAGCTACGGGAACCTGAGAATCAGGTGCTGTATATCAAACGTACATTTGTTCAGTGAAATGAATGGAGGATGAGATTTGGGAGGTCACAAATCTACAAAAACTCACCTGCTCCTTGGACGAAGAGCAGTGACATAGTGATGGACCCTGTCCCAGCCCCACAGACCTACCATGGTTCAGTACTGGGAGTATTAGGTGCCAGTCCCACCAAGAGACTGTGGCTCTAGCTATGCGTTCCTCTTCCTCACAGCTGACAAGACCTCACTGGTCATGGTGCCCTGCGCATATGGAAGTTGGTGTCATCAGGCTAGTATTGTCTATATTTTTATTGAGAAAGATTCAAATGGCACCATTTGTCAGTAGCCTGAGTATGGCCCATGCTTATTGCAATGGGATTACTGCTGTGCATAGCGTTAAGCTCTATTTATATGACTTATGTTTGCCATTAAATCATTTTTGCAAATAATTTTGAGTCAAAGGTTTTCTGCCCCCGGTGATGTTTAGAAGGGCATCAAGTAGTCAGCTGTACTGCACAGTAGCAGTGAAAAATAACTCAAGCAAAGTGTGGCCAATGCAACATGTGCCACAGAAACAAATCGGACAAATCCCAAAACACCAGTAAAGACATTTTGTTCTTATTAACAATTGGAGATGATGCCTGTTACAGTCATAGGCAAAACACATTTTCTGACAGAAATGTCACTGTGCTGTGGCTTTGTCCTGTCCCTGCAGGGTGCCTGGGCATCCATTTCCTCTTTCTAGAATGCATGGGACACTCTGCATCACAGCTTAGAAATGGGTTTAGAAATGAGCAATGGGGCACATGGCTGGGCCCCGGGACACAGAGGGGCAGCAGCAAAAGGCATCTGCCAAGGTGGTGAGCACCAGGCTGCTGGGAGATTGCCTTTTTGCTCGCAAGCCTCAGGCCGCTCTGTGATAATATGAGTGAAGTACTTTGAGATGTTTCAGAAGTAAAAACATTACCATTTTTCTTGTTGCATGGGGAAACAGCGAATCTCTTCCCTCCGCAGACCGCAGAGAGGCAGTACCCCTGCATTTCCTTAAGGCAAAGCATAGCCCCCCAGCAAAGCAAAATACTGTTGGAATTTGATGATTAATCTAAAGCTCTCATTTAAATTATCAAGAATACTAATTTAATGGCAAAATGTAATTTTTAAAGACAAGCCTTAAACTCTACCTTCCTTATTTGTGTCCTCTTAAGTGTATTTTTAACAGCAAGTCCAATGTGAAAACGCAAATGAAATTATGTGTCTTTTCCATACTGAATCTGATCACTGACATGCTGCAGTACTGCAATAGAAAATAGCAGTCAGCACCTTCTTTTAGAAACAGAAGGGACTGCGGTTTAGCAGTGGTTGTGGAGAGAAAAAAAATGCTTTATTTAGGCTTTTTCTGAGGCCATATGAAGGCCATGACGTACCAACTTCTGGAGTTCCCCAAAGGGGTCTCCTACTACTTTTCAAAGCCACATCAAGTGATGCCAGCTGAGGCTTGGATCAAAATTGTTTTTGTGTCAGAGCTCAACTTGCCAAGCAATGATAGATAACCTCAAGAAAATGGCACTGCTATTTCTAATAATATTTCCAGGTTGAAAGCATTAGAAAAATGGCAGAAGACAGCAAGTTGAAAGGCTCGCAATTTAATGGGCAGCTGGAGACAGCTAAGAATGACATTGAAGTTGACCAGGAGATCATGAAGGAGTTAATCCAAAAAGTGAAAGACTTCTTGTTAGGTAAATATGCAAAGTTCTTTTTGACTCATTTTTAATACATATTCCAATATAATATAGCATAATAGATGGCCAGAAAATGGTCTAGCTGTATGTACATCAAATTTCTTGTCTACCGCCTAATCTGCACAATCTTTCCCAATCCCTTTATTCTAGTGCTTCTTTCTCCCACGGGACAGTACTTTGTATTACTTTTCCAACAGATCTGTTACGTTCTCATTGTCATCTTTTATTAATTTGCTTAATTTGAACTATGCAAGTAATTCCCTCAGTTCCTGGTTTGTCCGAGTAAAGGACTACTAACACAATTTCATACAATATATAATGACCAGGCATGTCCAATGCATCCTCAAATTGTTATTCCACCCCCTTCTTCCAGGCCCATAAATAGAGGCTCTCTGTAGGGAGCGTGGGAATTAGGATACATACTGCTCCATCGTCTCCGTAAAGCTGTAACTTGAGGAATCAAAGGATTCTGGTAGAACGTCACAGCTCTCATAAAAAATAACAAAACAACCATACACATCTTAAAGCTTTTTCCACCCTCACAACTGCAGAAAAATGCTGTAAGAAACGGCCCCTAAGTTTTTTTACCAGATGCATATCAAAGGAGTTCAAATGTGGTAGGATTTTTTTAATCTCTTGAATGTAGCTGATCTCATAAGTTTCTAAGGATTGCATGTTGGCAGTCCTTTGGCATTCATACCTCTACATCCAAATAGGGGTGAGGGCAGAGGACAGAGGACTTCCTTTGTTCAGGAACATTTAAGTTATTTTATTGAAATGGAAGAAAAACTCCATTTAAGTCCTTAAGATTCTCAGATTTTTATTTGATAGCAGTTGAAAATTCCACCTTTGGCTCTTCTTTAATGTTTCTTAGTAGACATACGGCATTTACTAACAATTATAAAAGCATTTTTTCATGAATTTTTGCTTTGTAAGTTGAAGTTTAAGAACTGCAACAGCTGAGATGCATACAGTTACATTAAATCTGCTGCACTGTACATTGACATGAACGGTAGTCTTAGATGAATATATTTCTACAGAAAACAGCTCTCAGGAATGCACTACTGTTTGCACAGTCAATGTCTTCTATTTAATTCTTGGTGAGTTACTTTGGAGCATTAGCACAAACATGTAATATGTTTCAACTGCTTTATCACCCAAGGTCTTGTCTATAAAGGGAAGTGAGCACAAAACAGAAGTGATGATGAGATTTCACAAGGCATTGACTAACTCTGTGTGCCTGTGCCTCTTAGCAAAGAACTAGGACGAGATCATTTGTAAGGGCAGTTGTCAAAATATGGTTTTTCTACTGTAAATTCCCATCCTATCCGAGTCTGACCCAAGTTCCCTCTGTAGCTTAGCCTTTCTCATTAACCAGCGAAGGAACCACTTTCTCAATATTGTGGTGACTCCAGGGAAGGGATTACATGAACCGGCCAGCTTGGAAATCTCCATTCACACCCCAGTCTCTCCAGCACCTCTTTGATCTGGGGGCCGAGGGAGAAACGGGCTCTGACACATCTAGCTGCGCCGTGCACCGATTTAAAACCTTCCATGGGCTCAGTTCTACATCAGAATTTTAATAACCCCATTCAAAGTGGGTTCAAAGCCTCATTTTAGCCAGTTCTGACAACACTAACAGCAGTACCTGGAAGCATAATATTAAATTACAAAAAGTTGGAGATAATTCTTATACCCCCTTGCTGTGCCTGTCAGCTTTATTCTGCCACAAAACTCAAAGGGTAGGCAGCCATAATGATCATTTACATTTCACTGGGAGGAAGGAGTCACTTCAGGATGCCCTCAGCTCCGTTTCTGTTGCAGATGAGAGTGCGCCTCCAGAAGATATTGAGAAAGTGGCAAATTATGTTCTGCAAATAAACCTTCCCCTGACTCCACGAGAGCTCACAGGCATGCTTGGCAAAATCAGGAGCATTATGAACCCCTGTGAGAAGTACAAACTGCATGTGAGTAAGAGAAACAGAAAAAGGGAGGAAGCTCGGACGCTGCTGGTGGAGGCACAAGGAGCCGAGTGAGTAGGGTATTCGCGTACCGATGTGCTAACTCCAGCTGGGGAGGCACTGTGCACGGTAGGACTGCTCCATACCCCAGGCAGTATCCTAGTAACACTGGAGGGAAAGCTCAGATGACAGCAGATTTCAGCTTGCAATTTCCACGGGGCCTCTCCAGCAGGACGAGCCATGAAGGCAGCCCCCGCCAGCTCTTGGCTCCTCCACCTGCTGAGCCAAAGAGGCCAAGGCATCTATGTACGTCCACGGTGGACCTCATGGATCATTACAGCTGGTTCACTGGGAGGTTTAAAATGGGTAGAGAGAAAACCTGTTCACCCAAAAGCGAGCTCTCCTTACTAGCAGTGCAGCACCAGGCAGCTGGCAGCATCCAGCCTCACCTTTAATACAGCGGCTCACGTGCTCCCACACAAGGTCCCTTACCGAGGTTTTACTTTGCCAACTTACGAACCACAATTTTAACAGTTGTTGTTGGACACCAGGGAACATTCCTGCATGTGGGCATGGGTACATTTGAAACATGTTCTTGCTTCGCTCTCCACACCACGATACTACACACGCTTCTATTTTTCCATTTCAGCAAAGCAGCTAAAGCTCTTCTGCCTGTGGATGAAATTAATAGTAAACTAAAAAACGTTGTGAGGTCCCAAGGACACTCCAAAAACACCTTCATGAAGTTAAATGAAGAGATACGAGGCATCAAAACACAAATCTCACAGGTATCTCACTGTAAATCTTTTAATTTATTTAATACATACATTTTAGAAAAAGATACTTCATCTCAAAGTTTCCTTAATGTAAACTTAAATAAATAAAACCAGAATGTGGTGCAGATATGACACCAATTCCATAATGTTTAAGGGTCTCCTCTTTTTAAGTATTTGACATGAATCTCCCTCACTACCACGCTCGGCAAGCTGGATGGACATTGCATAAGAAACCACAGCCTTCAATTGCTCTGTTTTAGGCTAAGAACCAAGTGAACAAGACAAACGATGAACTAAATGACTTGTCAGCAAAACAGTCTGAGATGGAAGATGAAATTGCCACATTGCAGGCAAAAATGCTGATGAACAAGAATCAAGCTACAAAGGCAAGAGCAGGGGCAGAAGCAGCACACAAGCAAGCCCAGAATATTGATAACGTAAGCCTTTCTGCCATGTATTAAGGGAGAAAAGATTCCCTCCATGTTTGATAGTATTTTTGATTTAGAAGTGTAATTGTGTTACTCTGCTCTCCTCAGAACTGTGTTAATGTTTTTGTTATGCCATGCAGTGTAAAATGCCACAGGGTAAGAATAATTTCTTTTTTATTTTAAGGCTTCTGGCAAGTAACACTTCTGTTTCCTTGAATGAAAGAAAACATACACATTTCTCTGGCTACTCGGTGACATTTTTCCTTGCACTGTGTATAAGACTCGTAGTCTCCATGGGCACCAGTAAACACAACAGAACAAATCACAAAACCAGATATTAAAATATGTGAGTGATGGAAGCAGCCTGGCCATTCATCCCATGCCATTCTCCTTCAGAGAAAATTGCTGTGGGAGTTACTTGGAGTTTTTGGTTGGCCAGGTGCTTTTCCGTAGCTCCAATTTTTGAGAATGCACTGAGGCAGCTAGAAATTTGCTAAAATTGCAAGGAGAACCAGGCACCCACAGCGCAAGCTTGGAGCATGACCAGCTTCCAGGTTATAAGAAACCTAGTAGAAATCTAAACTGTGGCCAATCTAAATTGGCATGGAATGGAGTTCGCCAGTAAATATTACTACAGCCAAAAAAGGTAAAAAAAAAAAAAAAGCTACAGGTGATTCGTTAAATTTTAATTAAGCCTCATAGCAAAATGAAATTTACAGAAAAGACCTATCAAAAGAAGTAAAAACAGCATAAGCTTAAAAAATCTTAAACCATATTTTCTTTACATCCTCACCCTCCCTTGACACTTTACATGGCTCCACTGACGGTTTAATTGTTTTTTATCAGGTTGTGCAAAGTATTGTTCAATGTACATTCATGGGTTTTTTTTTTTAAGATTGAAGAAAATGAGAGATTTAAAGTTTGGTTCAAAGAGGATATTCAAAAAAGGTATAAAAACCTCCTTTAGTACACCAGATTAATTATGAGATGCTCTTAAACTAAGTAATGGCTTTTTGTTACAGGAGTTTGCTGACATTAAAAGAAAGTACACCATTCTTCAAGAAAAGCTAAAAGCCCAAGGACCTCCAAAAGTAATGCTAGAAAAAGTGAAGCAGCTGAAAGAAGAAGCAGAAAAACTGGCTGAAGAGACTGAAAAAAAAATTAAAAGAATAACAGGTGGCGTTCTCACTTCCATAGCGAGTGGTAAAAATTGTGACAGTCATGAATTAAACTGATGTCCTTGCCCACAGACACTAACAGACTAGGTTCACCTGAAATCAGGTTTAAAACAATATAACTGGTGAAAATCCCTGCTTGAAGCTACCCGAACAGTTTAAAAGCAGTTAAATTGATTTGGCTTATGTACTTTTTGTGACATAAATTGGTTGCTGTAAGCAGAGTTTAAGAAACGTCCACACAGGGACTTGCAGTGATTTGATTCAGACAGTTTAAAAGCAGGACAAGTGCAAAATCTGCATAAAACTTGGCTGCAGATTTAGCTGGGAGCTTTGATTTATACACTTGCTTTGGGCATTTGGAGCTTAAATATTTCCTTTGCGCACTGTCTTTTCTTACATTACCCAAGTGATGTCTCGTATTATAGAGAGCTGCAGGGTAGCTGCTTGTCATCAGTCCATACTTGTTCCCCTTCAGACTTTATCTCTGAGCAATGGCAGAACAAACCAGGCACAAATACTGGCTTGTTCAAACACAGAGAAACATCCGTGTCCCACAGCAGGCAGCAGGGCTTGAGTACATGCCTCGGTCACGTTGGTCCACACTCTGGTGCCATCACCCACGTGCACCGCCGTGGAGATTGAAGCCGATGTGCCCTGGACCCGCGGGGCTGCGGCCGGGAGGCAGAGGGGTCGTGGGTAGCGGAGACGGGGGGCACCGCTCCTCACACAGCCTCTCTGTGTGGTGTCTAAACAGGTGGGTTTAGAGGGTTGCCAAAACAGAAGAGTACATCTCATGTAATCGCACACATTAGGGGACCTAATTCTGCTTGTAGTGAAGGTCTGGGCATTTCCACTGGGAATCCTTGGGCCTAGGATCCTGCCAGGCTCAACATCCAAAAATACTGTGTAACATCAGCAAAACAGAAGCAGAAACTCCATCCCAGGAGCAAATTCTTCAGGACAGGACCCAAATAAATACTTTGAGCAGATACCTTGAGGAGAAGCATTAAGAGCATCCCAGTCACTCCAAACACCCAGATGACGACTGCATTAGAAACAGGCAGTGAATGATGTGGTTTTGACTCATTACCAGTACGTACCACTGGTGTAGCTTCACAGGGGCCAGCGGAAACATTCTTGTAAATGAGGGAGACCTAAGCCCATTACGCCTGAATTGTCTAGGCTTTACACACATCGGTGGACACACTGTTCCTCTGAGTGTTTCCATTTAAGCCAACTCATTTAAGAGCTCCATGTCCTGCCCCATCCTAGCTGATGGACAAAAGCACATGCTGAGAAATTAATTTAAGGCTGTCACGTTTCACTCGCAATCCAGAAGCCAGACTTTTCTCTCCAGTTGCATATATAACATTCCCCATTTGAAATGGGCTTATTGCCTCTAAAACTGCTGGGAAAAGAAACGCTGTTAATCCCTGGATTTTACTTACACAACAAATATGAGCATCACTGCATGTCTCTACTCTTCCAGATTTGGAGAAGAAGCTTCAGGACCTGAATCAAACTAAACAAGACAAGGCAGAGCAACTGAGACAACTAGAGGAACAAGTGATAGCCATTAAAAATGAAATCACGGAGCAAGAAAGCAAGTATGCAACATGCAAAAGTTAGGGTCTGAACAGACCATCAGGTAAAGTGCAACTGAAATCTTCATGCTTACCCCCTCCGGAGCTTCCTGGCATGGAGGGCTGTCTGTAAATTCATCTGAAGGTGCATATAGTATTTTGGCACAGTGAATAATGTAACTTTCTCTTGGGTTTTTTTTGTCCAGTTGAGTTTATATGCAAATAGGAAATGCCTTTTAATAAACCAGCTGATAAAGGAATTGGAATGCAATCTTTGAGGGAGTTCTAAAATACACTCCTGCCCACAGCCCAGGGCTTCTCCTTGTAGGGGGTTGGAAATGCAAAAGGAGGATTGCTCAGAGAACTACAGGTAACTGCCTCAGAGGCTCCCAACACCCTGTGTCTTCTGCTGACCCCTACAATAATCTGTGGCTGTGCCACGACCCCACACGGGGCTGCACAGACTGGGATGGGGAGATGCAGGTGAAAGGCTGCCGGCCTCTGTAGCCATCCCTGCTGACAACCGGCGGCATCCCCAGGGTACCATCGCTCCTCCACCCCCGTCTCTTCGCTGGGACAGAGCAGGGGGGCCACCAGGAACCCCTGACCATGTGGGGGGGTCCCCCTCTGTTAACTGAAAACGCGCCGGGACGCGCGGTACCTCCGTGCAGCACTGGGCCATTAGAGGTGGGTGACAGGGAGCCAATTCCCCAGTGCCCACTGGATGGCAGTGCTCAGATGCTTAATGCCGAAACTTCAAAATCATTAAGCTGTTGTTAAAGGTCATTTGTCAATGCCCCTCCTGCAGTTACCTTTTTTTCTTATGCTTATAAGGTGTTTCCCACGTTTTTCGTTAATGCAACCAACAACTGGAAAATAACTCCAGCTCTTAGGTTTAAGCAGTGAGTCTACAGGGCCACAAATGTTGAAAAACAGTTTCGCCACCTTTTCTCCCACATGCAGCACTTCACAGAAGTCAGGGTTCACACAGCAGTTTCTTGGAGCCATAAAGAACACAGGAATTAAGCTAAATTTCAGTTTATAATTCTTTTTCTTTTAATATAAAGGAGACTGGGGCTAAGCAAATGCTACAGAAGGGCTAGGGTTTTAAAAAGACCAAAGGGAGTTACGCCTCAGTTTCAAAATCCCACCCACATTCCTGCAGGACGCTGAACAGACTAACGATGGCTTTTCCTCAGTTAAAACCAGTCGTGTCATTCCCGTCTGGACCATCCCACAGCAAGCATCCGTCATGGACTTTATTCAGCTGGCGTGAGGAGCCCAGCGCTGCTGCAGAGCGCTCGGATGCAGCCCGCATCTGTAAAATGAGGAATGCGCTGCAGGAATACAGGGCTCTTAGCATCTACAATCCTTATCTAAAAGCAAGCATTGTTTCGATCCAACTGAGATAAAGCCTCCATAGTTATCACTCTGTGTTTACAAGAGCTAAAGCAGCATTCATATGCACTGGGGGCCTTGAGTGGGAATTGCTGGCACGGATGAGATTTCAGAGATACTCCTCTAACTCAAACCAGCTGTGCTCCAGGGCAATGTGCAACATGCATTACCCATATAATAGCTTCTATTGTGAAAATGATAGAATCAAATTATAACTTTGATATAATCTAAGAGAGACACCTGAATGCAGGTATGCACGTAATTTGTGGTTTAGCTTTTTCTGAATTTTAGCACTTTAAAAAATCATGTATGAGGTGCAAGGCTTCTCTAGAAGTTACTAGGCTGTAATCAGACAAATGTATTTAGATTGACTTTGCCATAATGAAATCGAGCCTCTCTGGTTTACTGGGAGCATACAGCTCACCAAGCTGCTCACACGCAGGTCTCCAGGTAATGAAGGATTTCCTGCAGGTTTCATGCGGCCCTGCTGTACTGCACCTGAAACAGGCAAACTGAAGCTCTTAGAAAGAAATTCCCAATTGCATATAAATCAAAATTATTCATGGCTTGAAAAAACTGAATGCACAAGCAAAAGTTGAAAGAGACCTTCCTCTTAAAAGCCACTGTTAGCTGTGAGAGTTGCCATATGGCTTTTGACAAGCCGCGAGGATGAGAAGTCTGTAAACACAAGGCAGTTGGGGCCTGGAGGGGAGATGTATCCATGGGGGGAAACAGAAATCACTGGAAGAAAAGCAGAAACAGGAAGAAGAAAGTCAGCATGGAGTCTGACCTCCCCTGCCTTTCTCCAAACATGCTCAGACACACAAAGCGAGCAGACCTGATGGGACCAGCAGCTACAGGACACAAAACCCATTCTGTGACAGCTTCTGAGGTTTACAACTGCGCAGCATTCCCCATTGGAAGTGGTGCAAAAACTTTTAAAGTCTTTTTGTGAAGTTAATTTGTGGGAAAATGCTGTATCTGGATCAAAAATACCTATTTTTAGTTCCCCCAGTTCCCTTTCTTGTGGACAGAAGTGGCTTCAGAAGAGCGTTTATTGAGAAAATTTTTGAAATCACTATCTTGCTGTAGAGCATTTTGAATTCAATGACATTAATCAAAATGCAAACAACATTTAACCAAAACCACATATTATCAAAGATATATTTAATCAAAAATTATCTCATCAGCTCTATCTGCTAGACATTCAACCACTGGAGTGTTATAAGAAAACGGGTGATCAAGTGGGTCCCACTGAGGTCAAATTCTGAACTTTGGTTCCTCAAGAAGACTTCCAACCCAGCACAAACACAGACACCCCAAGACTGTAAAGCCACTTCACCAACCACAGGGATAGGACATGACACAAAACTGAATTTTTATCATTTGAACAAACAATCAAATTAAAATACTGCCACTAGCTATCGCTCATGAGCACTGCAGAGAGGGACGGACATGAACAAGTTCATCACACCTAATTACCCACACAGTGAATGCTGGCGGTCTTACCCAGGTTTCAGCCACCTCTGAAGGGCGACCATGGTTACAGGTGACAGTGGCCACCTTGCTCCGTGGCTGCGCTCCCCACACGAGGTGAGGGTCACCACTGCGACCCCAGCTCAATCCCTGATGCCACGCAGCAGGGTCACCTCCAGGCCGGAACGCAGTGCAGTGTCACACCGCCCGTGGCAAGGCACGAAGGAGCCTAGCCACGGTGGCAACGAGCTCTGGAGGGCAACTTGAGTCCATTTGAGGTTTAGGGGAGGATAGGACTTCTACAAGGCTATGAAACAGAAGAAAAAGGAGGAGAAAATTTCAATAAAAATTGAAAAAGTATGGGATAGAAAAGAATCCAGTGGCAATGAAACACTCTGTCCTTGCACACTTGCACATGGAGCGATGCTGCAGAATGCCCCTGCCTGTCTGCATTGGACTGGGGCAGTTTCTGACTGCAGCAGAGTAAGACGTTTTCTGTTAGCAGGACAGAAATGTTCGTTGTATTGAAGCTTAAAAACAAAGCCAGGCTGCGATTTACAAGACAGAATTGTGAAACTGAATTAGTTTTGTGAATTTAGAAGACCACATTGTAGAAGAGGTTTAGAATTACAATACCCGCCCTGTCAATTTAAAAAGGTTTAATTTCCCAGATATCTTTAATGAAACAGCCCCATGAGTTCCTCAATCGGGAGTCCTGGGTTATGTTTCAGACCTGGTGTTTAACCTTTAGGGCAAGTCACTTGGTATCTCTCTGTTTCCGCTTATCCATCTGTAAAATGAGAACGAACATATTTACCTACCTCGGCAGGGTTTGCTAGGACAGACAGACCGCAGTGTGTTTCCACTCCGGCACTGCAAATAGCGAGGGCAAAGTGTTCTTGAGGGACACCAGTACCTGGTAAAGATTTACACGGGTTTACGTGTTACACGTGCGCAAGCAAAACTCGGGTATATAAACCCAGGCATCCGTCCCAGGCTGCGCCCAGCCGGGGCTGCGCTCTTTGAACACATCCATCCTTCGTACCTGCTCGCCAGCGTTTATTTACCAGTAACCCTTTCCCCTGGGTGCCCA